TCACTGCTTCCTCTCCTCCAAGAAGGCTGACGGTCATTAGAAACATCCAAGGGGAGATAATCTGCTCGGGGCCTGGCCAGGGGACGCCTCCCCCGAGCAGCCGCCATGCAGCCTGCATGCAAGAGGAACAAAACCTCAAAGACAGAAAGCAGCGCTCTGCCACTCCGAGTGTCAACAACCACCACAACACAGGCTCACTGCACAATCCTGAGTTGAAAACAATATTTTTCTTAGAAGCTTACCATACTGAATATAAACAAATGGAAAGAGATCCTTAAAAAACAGCTCTTAACCTGAAAACAAGCCTCAGACCTTTTTCTTTCAAATAAATCAGCATCCTGTCATTTTTCCAGCTCTTTAAAAGATCAAGACTACGACACCAATTGAGTTAACAAAGGAATTCAAATTTCACTAATAAAACAGGAAAGTTAATTTTTATCTCAAAGTTAATTATGAATCATTAAATAATTTTTTGCTGCTTTTGTATTTCTTCTAGTATCAACGGTCATAATTTCTAATCTACTTCCTGAAGCTAACAAAGAATTGTGACAAACACCTGCAACCAAAAACACCACGCAACTGCCACTATTCTTTCAAGACAGCCCTGACTCAGCATAAACAACTTTAAAATGTCCTATAACTGCTTAAAAATGTCCACGAAACTGACCTGGTGATGAATCCTTCCTCCTCTGAGATGGGTTGGATTCATTTTCAGAGTCTGTGCTATTGTAGTCCTCACTTAGTGAAGAATAACTCTCTTCCTTTACCTCTTGAGCACCTTTAGCGTTGCCAGTCCCAGGCTCCAACTGAGGTATTTCTGTGTTAAGAGAAAAAAATATGACCACAGTTATACGTACAAAAGCTGCATAAGAGCTCCCAGATGCCATCAGATCTGCGCCCTGATAGGTCACAGCTTTGCTTTTTGAAAGGTTTGAAAGACGCGATGCTGATGCACACATTTATCCCAGTCCCACCACCTCTGATTTACTGCAGAGGTTTTGCAGATCCAGATCTTCTCAAGAAGAATCTCCACGCTTTGATCCTGTTTTACCCACATTCATATTAAAGCCCCAAGATCAAATAACAGACAGAAGACACCTAACAGCAGTATTTGCACAATACTCTTAAGCACTTCATGATGTTCTTACAGAATTAATGCTAACTTTTTTTTTTTTAACTTAAAAAGGACTTACTTTTGCTCTCATCAACTTCGCTCCCTGTGGACAGCAGGCTTTTCTTCTTTTGAATTCTGAACGTCACTTCATTGAAGGATGGCTTTTTGATTTTAAAAACTCCCTCCTCACCTGGACAGACAGAATGGTTCTGAGTAACACACTAAAAAAGCCAGCAGCATACGGGCACGTAAGTGTAAAGCACACAATCCTGATACACGCACTCAGCACAGATTTTGAGCCTTCAGCTGCACTACATCTCCTAATTCCACGGCCCTGTCACTCGAGATCCAGCACTACTGAATTTACATCCGGCACGTCTTCTCAGTACGGCAGGGGAGATGTAACGTACCGACACAGGGCACCCCCCCCAAGCTGCCCAGACCTGCTATCCGCCTACTAATTTTGCCGTTTGCACGCACTCACACGCCGCCCCAGGGCTAATTAGCCCCCCCCAAATCGCCCACCTCCCCGCTCCTCCTCGTCGCTCCCGAAGCTCAGCACCGCCCCAGCTCCCCGCGCCGGCTCCGCCGAGGACAGCGGTCGCTCTGCGGCGGTTCGGGCCCCCTCAGAGAACGAGGCGGCGCCACCGCGGTCCCCGTCGCTTTCCCCGGACTCCGCTTCGTCGTCGGGGTCGCGGTCCGGCGGTAGGACGGAGGTCGACCCCCGCTCGCCGTCGCTACCGCAGCTGCTGCCGCTGGAAGCCGCGCGCCGCCGGCCGCGGAAGTTGCGCGGGGCCCGGCGGAACATTTCCCGGTCCCCCCGCGCGCAGCCTTCGCACAGCGCGTGCGCGATGACGCAAAGCCCCGCCTTGTCCAACAGCGGGGGAGGGGGCGGTGCGTGCGGCAGTGCCGACCAATGAGGGCGAAGGGGCGTGGCTGCGGAGTAACGACGGAGGGGCAGGAGGCGGGATGGGGGGGAGGTGAGGCTGTGCTCCCTTGTCTGTTAGAAATGTCACCAAGTGCCTTTGGGGACAGGCTGGAATCAAAATATGTGGACCATCAGAGCTCGTAGACCCAATTGCCTACAGGTCATTACTCTTTTTTTAATCCTTTTTTTCTTCTTTATGCCTGTATGGGAACTGTGAGGACACGGCCTGAACCGGTGATGGAGCAGCTGATGAGCACAGGTGGAAGCAATGCACCTGTGACACCAGATGGGGCTGAGCCTGGCTCCACCCCTCCCTGACCTCATTTAAGGGCTAGCAGCCAGAAAGGAAGCATCTCTGTCTACCTGGAGACTGCCTTCTTTGGGCTGTAGGGTGAATGATTCCTTCTGTGCTATGGAATTGTCATCTCTGCTCTTCCTGGGCAGTATGTGACTGGTTTAAAGAAGTTGTGTCTCCTACAGATTGGTGTGCATTTCTTTTTTCCCTACTACTGCTTTGTTCTTGGAACGCTTTGATCAGCTCTTAGGTAGTGCTAGTATGCTGACCATGTGTTGCAGCTCTGGAAATGCCCTTTTCCATAAAGGGTTTCTGCATACTTGAATTTAAAAAAAAAAAAAAAAAAAAAAAAAAACAAAAAAAAAAACACCTCCTTTTAGTTGAGCCTCTCTTCTCTGTTTCACAGGTCTTACTTTATGATCTCCGTCATGGGTGGGGTGTATGGGAACAGCTGACTCACGGCCTGAACCTCTGATTGACCACCTGAGGGGAGCACTGAGTCAGCCAGAGGAGCACAGGGGAAGGCAATGCAGCTGTGCTGAAGGAAGGGGTGGAGCCTGGCTGCACCTCTTCTAGAGCTGTTTAAGAGCTGGCTACCAGTGGGGAAGGATCCCTTCTGGAGATCCCTCCTTCTGGTGTTTTGTGGTGTGGGGGTGTGGTGGGCTCTGCCCCTTACCAGTTGGGCCTCCACCATGCTGAGCAACACAGCGCCATGCTGCTCAGCTGCCTCCAGCTCTGCCTGATGCTGCTGCCTGCAGGGAGCAGGGCCTGGCTGGGGGGTGCTGGCCTCCATCACCATGAGGACTCCCCAGCAGTGTGTGCCCACCCCAGGGCTGGAACTCGTGGCTACTGCAGTGAAAGAGAATAAGAAATCCTTTTACGAATACATCAATGGTAAGAGAAGAACCAAGCAGAATTTCTATCCTTTACTTGATGCAGCGGGGAGTGTGACCACTGAGGATAAGGAGAAGGCTGAGGTCCTCAATGCCTTCTTTACATCTGCCTTTAATAGGCAGATCAGTTATCCCTGGGGCATGTTATGCCCTGATATGGAAGTCTGGTTCGCTATGCAGAATATACCCTGGTGATTCAGGTGGCAACAGTTAGAGAGCTCCTTCTCATCTGGACTATCACAAGTCCATGGGACTGGATGGGCTCCATCTCAGGGTGCTGAGGGAGCTGGTGGGGGTGACTGCTGAGCCCCTCACTGCCATCTACCAGCGCTCCTGATTAACTGGTGAGGTCCCAGAGGATTGGAGGCTTGCCGATGTGACTCCTATCTACAAGAAGGGCTGTAAGGTGGATCTGGGGAACTATAGGCCAGTCAGCCTGACCTCAGTACCAGAGAAAGTTATGGAGCAAATCATCTTGGGTGGGATGACACGGTACGTGCGTGGCGTACAGGGGATCAGGCCCAGCCAGCAGGAGTTCACGAGAGGCAGGTTGTGCCTGACCAACTTCATCTCCTTCTATGACTGGGTGACCAGACTGGTAGATGAGGGTAAGGCTGTTGATGCAGTCTACCTAGACTTCAGCAAAGCCTTTGACATGGTCTCTCACAGTATTCTGGGGAAACTGGCTGTCCGTAGCCTGGACAGATATATAGTTTTTTGGATAAGGAACTGGCTATAGGGCTGTGCCCAATAGGTAGTGGTTAGTGGAACTAAGTCCAGCTGATGACCCATTAAGAGTGGTGTCCCCCATGGGTCGGGACTGAGGCCCATCTTGTTTAATATCTTTATTGATGTTATAATGAGGGCATTGAGTGCACCTCAGTAAGTGTGCAGATGACACCAAGTTCAGAGCTGATGTCAATCTCCCTGAGGGTAGGGAGGCCATACAGAGGGATCTAAGTATGCTTGGATCACTGAAGTGAATGGGATGAGGTTCAACAAGGCTGAGTGCTGGGTCCTGAGGTTGTGATGAAGAGGGCTTTGGCTCCTTCTCCCAGGGCAACAAACAGGACCTGAGGAAATGGCTGGAAGTTGTACCAGAAGTTTAGGTTACATATAAGGAAGAACTTTTTCTCTCAGACAGCAGTCAGGCACTGGAATGGCTGCACAGGGGAGTGGTGGAGTTGCCGCCCCTGGCAGTGTTCAAGAGGCATCTGGAGGAGGAGCTACGAGGTCTGGTTTAGTGCTTGTGGTGGCAGTGGTGATGGGAGGATGGCTGGACCAGGTGATCTTGCAGGTTGTGCCCAACCTTACAATTCTATGACCTACAGGGTTAGCTTGTAAGTTGGGAGTCAAGAACGGACACGGCAGGAGGAGAGAGGTGTTAGGGAGCAGCCAAGGCATCACAATGTATCAAAAAGCCCTGAAAAGCAACACAAAGCCACAGCCAGGAAGCTTGGGATTATCATGAGCAGCATCCAGGATGCTAGAGACTATTTGCTACTGTACCAAATGGGAGCTGCAGACACCCCAAAGCCAGACAAAACAGGAACAAGCCTGGAGCTCTGATTCATGCACCCCACAGCCTCAGCATTGCAAGCTGAGGTGCCTTGCTGTGTGCTGCATTCATCCCAGTCATCGTGAATGAAAACTCCTCAGGCAGTCAAGGTGTTGAGTGAGCACAAGTGTGCTTTTATTATTAAAGGAAAACACAGGAGGGCGTGAGAGGTCCAGGTAAAGATGGGAATCGTCCTCTCTTGGATGGAAAGATCACGTAGAGAGTGGCTCAGAGCTGTCAGAGCCGCTGCACGGTGCCTGGGACTGGAGGCCTGATTCTAAGCCCCCCTCCAAGAGGCTCTGCTGCTCCTCGCTGATGCCGACCTGCTCCTGCACAGAGGTGCTGCTGTCGCGGCACTCGGGCTGTGCTTGGGCTGGGCTGCACTGCAAAGGTGCCGGGTCACAGTCCAGGCTGGTGACTGCGGTGTCTGGCAGGCTCAGGTCAGCATCTTCAGCACAGCCAGGAGAAATGAGGGCTTGAACTTGAATGAGCTCCTCCTGTCCGTCACTGTTGTTATGCGGCAGGCTGTCAGCTGATCCACAGCCACTTGTGCTTCCTGCGAGCTCTCCATTGGTGGAAGCACACAGCCCAGCATCGCTACTTGCTCCGGCTCTGCTCGGTTGACAAGAGCTTGAATCACCTATAAAAGAATGAACAGGGGTTGGTGTCAAACTTTCACAAGCTGAATTACAAAAGGGGTTCTTGATCAGGGGAGAACTAAAGGTGTCAGGTATGGGTTGGAACGCTGGAAGTAGATACAAGCCCACTGACAGCAAGAATTCTATGTTGCTGAAAAGCAAGGCGTTGAAAGCTGGATTTGCACCCTTACCTGCCAGCACTACGATTTCTATTTCTGAGGGCTCCCTGGGATGGTGCTGTGGCTGGCGTTTGGCCCCAGACGATGGTTTCCCCAGGCTGAAACAAGAACACCAACAGCCAGCTGGTGATTCATTTGTCTTGCTGGGTGGACTTGGTCTGGAGAGAGAAAACAGGGAATGGTGTGAGTCGTGCGTGGCGCAGGGTGAGGGAAGAGCTGCACTGAGCTCTTGCCAACAGTTGCTTGTTCCTAGCACCGCCTGGTTCCTGCTGAAACACAGCTTAGAAACTCGCTCCATTTCAAGCAGTTGAGGATGGTTCCATTCCTATAGCTCAGCCCTGATGTCTTGCTGGCTAAATTCCCCTCAACTGTGTCAAGCAAGATGCAGAGCATGTGAGGTCCACAGGCTCCACACCTGTACAGGACAGCATCAAAGGGTGGCTTTGATTGAGTAGGCAGGCATAACTGCTGGCTGCGGAATTGCACAGCCATAAAGGAACTTCAAAAGCATCTCTGACTCTGACAGCTCATCGGCCCATCTCACTGCCACGTCTAGTTTCTCGTGCCAGCAGGTCTGACCAACAGCTCTGCTTTGAGGAGAACCGGAACTGGATTCAGGCACATGGCCCTGAAGTCTGGAAACCCCCAACGTTTCCAGGTACATCCAGCACAGGATGGGATAGATGTCAGTGTGGCTTTATGCATCTTGTGACTGCCTGCCCAGCAAGGAAGGAACGGCAGCCTTGTGAGGCTAAACTGAGCCCGTCAGGCAACTGAATGTTAGTTCAATCTCACAGTCCAAAGGGAGTGGAGATTCACTGCAACACTTCAGGCACCATTAGTTTAACTGAGTTTCAGCAAGCTTTGGAACTAGAAATAACGGGAAAAAAAAAAAACAAAAAACAAAAACAAACAACAAATAACAAAAACCCACCCAAACAATGATGATAGGTGCTGGAAAACCAAGTCCTCTTTACCTTTCAGCGGGGCCTTCTTCCACCCCTATGTCCCTGCTCTCTGTCACAACGACAGGAGAGCTGCTGTGGCCTCGCCTCCGTGCCTGCGCCTCCTCCAGGCTGAGCAGCTCTGTGGCAGGAGAAGACGCCTGCACAGACTGGGGCCCTGAGAGAGAACTGTGCCCTGGAAGGGAAAACCACAGGGGAGAGCCAGGATCAGAAAGCAGCAGCACAGCCATCGCAGGTCCAGGGGAGCTACTGTGTTTCTCTCAGACTTGCTTATCCGAGCCGCTGCAAGAAGAGCAGCTCAAAACAACCATGTGCTCAGAGGTGTGTCTATGGCAAAGGACGCAGTCATAATTAAGAGCAGCTCCCTGTATCGAAACAGGGAAACAAAAACCCTAGAAAATGGGGGACAGGGAACTCAAAAAGCTTTGCCGCCACACTTTCACCAAGCTTCACCTGCTTGCAAAACATCATAATGACAGTGACGGTTGTCTCCTTGTCAAGTTTGGGCTTGCACATTCTCAGCATCCAGCAGCAGGATGCCAGATTCTAATCTAAGGCCAGAAGTCTGCTGTCCCCTTGACAGGAAAAGAGTACTTCAAAGGACTTGGAGAAGGCCTGCATTTGATCCAGGTGTCTGAACAAGATGAAGCTAATGGAGGAAGACACTCACCTGCTCCATCTGCGATGTCAGATCCAGATGTGGAGCAGAAGAGGACATCTGTGTGGTCAATGATGAATTCCACCACGGCCGACTGCGTCTGCAGTTCCATGCAGGCAGCTCTCCCGCTGGCGCAGGCAGACTCGCTCTGCTGTGATCTGTAGAAAAGGCAGCTTTTAGAAGTCATTCAGCCAAGATCGCTTCCCCAGGTCTGAATTACTGCAGCCCAAAGCTGTCACATTTGTTCTCTGGAGACTTCCGCAGCGGGCATATAAGAGATGCCACTGAAGAAGTTCTCCTGTCTGATCAAGGACACACCAGTCCCATCTAAACAAGAGAGCAGAAATGCTCAGCTAGAAATTGTGCCCACGTGGGGTTGGAGAACAGCCCAGGCTCCTGCTCTGCTGGCAGCCACTCACTGCACATTTTACAGGAGAAGAGCACATATGGTGCAGAAGAAGGGGGGATTGCTTTACTCTACTGGAGAACAGATGTTCTGTTGAAACGGAAAAAGAAGTTTACCTTAAGAGGTTTGGAGCCCACACAATGGCTAAGTTCTTAGCGTGCATGTTGGTGACAGAGCTGTTGGCAGCCAGACAGGCCAAGTGTCTCATCAGATACGCCAGGGTCCTGGGAAACAAGAGCAGCAAATGTTCAGCAACAGCCAGCATGCCGTGCTGCCACTCACAAAGCAAACCTCAATTCATGCTAGTTGTTACTATTGCTACTGTCACTGAAGATGAAGTGGCCATCAACTGCACTGAGCGTGCCCCCGTGCCCAGGAACTGACCCAATAAATTAACCCTATGCAGGGTTTCAGCATACCCAGGCATCCCGTTGCTCGCGTGAGACAAAGCCTGGAATCGCACCAATGCCCTCTGAAGTGCAGCAGGGCTGAGCTCAGCAGGCTGAGGGCAGCACTGACCTGTAGTGAGGAGCGGGCAGCTGCTGGATGACGTCCCGCATTCTGACCAGCCGCTCCTCCTCCGTAGTGGCACCAACAGCATCCTGGAAAAGGGCAGAAAGGGATTGAGACACAAATCAGGCGAGATACCTGCCGCAGGGTCGGGAACCATGGGCACAGCGCGCTGCTGGTCAGCACTGAGAAAGACTTTAGGCCTCCCCAGAGGCATCTGGGGAACATGGCGGCACGCAGCTGGTGCCACCACGGCCAAGGAGTCCAAGCACCGGGCCGGTTTACAGCCTGGTTGGGCAGCTCAGCTCCTTGCAGGGGGCATTCATCTCCAAGTATGCTTGGCTATTAATCCCATTCCCGTTACAGAGATAGCTGGGGAATAGCAAAAAACAAACAAACAGCACGGGAATTCTCACAAGCATTGTGAATATGGAAATAACCACCTCCTGGGGCCACCAGAAGCGGCATCAGCACGATGCGGGATGTGGCAAAGACATGCGAGTAAACCCCATGGGGCTAACAGAAGAAGGGCCTCAGAGCTGGGGCACTGCTGCAGCCATCTCCCAAGAGGCCCAGCGAAGAGGGAAAGGAAAGGCGTTGCCTCGTGCTTACCGAGAACTTGTCGTACAGCTGGTCGGTCAGCAGGGGGGTCGGGAGCTCCCTGAAGTACATTTTGCAGAGGGAGCTCGCGCTGTGAACGTCGCGGACGGTTAGCTCAGGAACCTGCTCAGACTCAAATTCCTGGCTGCAGAGAAGGACACGAAAGTGGTTGAGAAAGAGGAAAGCAAGTCAAAAGCCACACCCAATGCAATCAAGAATCAGAAGGGCTTCCTGATGTACAGGAGAACACAAACACTCGGCCACCAGCACCACGTCAGCCGTGCTGGATGGGATGTTCCCAAAGGAGACCTTTTCTCTGTGCTAAGGCATTGCCCGCACGCCTCTGAACGCCCGCAACAGGGCACGTGCCCCTGCTGGCAGCTGTGTCTGTCAGTCGCAGCACTCTTACCGCAGTCTCTGGACGTTGGACGCCACGCCGGACAGGCGGTATATCCCCTGCACCACGCCATGCTGCTCGATGAACTCGGCGCAGCTCTGGAGGACCTGGGGGACTAAAGAACACGTGCCGGCGGTTACTGGAGCTCCTTAGTCAAGTCCTGCCTCAGGCTGCGCTCCCGTCACATCCCATCCACTAAGCCTAGCCGGCTTAGCTGAAGCAAATAAAAATGTGCTTGTCTCTTGGGAGCATTAGCCTCACTTCATCTTTCAGCCATCAACTCCCATTACTTGTTTCTCCACAGGTATCAAGCTGCCCCTTGCTAGATATCATCTCCCTTTCATCTTTAGATTCCCAGCTGAGGAAGCTCTCAGGAATGGGCTGTCCCTTACCATCACGACCAGAGTGGAGAAGATGCTCTCCCAGGTCACGGCCAAACACCCTCTCCTTCTCCACCTCCCGCTCTTTCCGTTGCTTTGGGCGGGCCTTCACCACGGAACGAAGGAAGGTGAGGAGCTTGCCGCGCTTCTTTGGCACTGCACAACAAAAGGAAGAAACCAGTTCATCTCAGGTTTGGCTCCAGTGGACGAGGCCGAGCACAACACATTCTACAGAGCACCTCAAAACGGGAAGAACATGATGAGCAAGTGCGTACCAAAATGGATTTTCCCCATCCCTGGAGGAGTCCAAGGCCAGACTGGATGGGGCCCTGGGCAGCCTGGTCCAGTCCCACATT